ACGTCATCTTATGAGAGTGACGTAACACTTTTAAGTATCTCACTTACGTTAATTTTTTATTTAAATTTAAATTAATACTTTTGTCTAAATAAATTTGTCCCTTAAATGCACATTTCTTATTTTGGGCCTCTTAAAACTTACACCAAAACGGGCATAAGGTGTAAAATTTTTTACATCATTGTAAAAAATATAATTTTCCATAGTAAAATACAAAATGTGACTATAATCGATGGTCACATCTATAATTTTACACATCTATAATTGTCACATCTATAATTATAATTTATAATTCTGTCAAATCAAATTTCACAAAAATCGTATTTTAAAAACTTGAATATTCAGGATCTATTCTACCTTTTTTCACTCAAGTCTTGTATTTTGCCATGTAAAATTATATTATTTAAATTGATATAAAGAATTGTATACCTTACAATTCAAAATATATTTGTCCATTATTAAATAAAATAATAAAAAATGATAAATATTTATTAAAAGTTATTTTTTGCATGAATAAAAGAATTTTACAAGTGTGTGCAGAAATTTTTCAATTTGCTTAACTCCTCGAAACATGCAAAAAGTAAAATTAATATTAATGGTTTCAAACTTTGGACCACTCTCCTGATCAAACTATTAGAACCATATTTTTCAAAACTGAATCAGTCAAAGAAAAGGTATGTTTATTCAGAGTAAATATATATATATTTTTTGTCTGATTTCGTAACTTAAAATATTGTCTGCACAAATTAGTTAGCATATTTGATGTCAATCCGTCGAATCATTAAGATTGAGTCAAAAAAAGTGAAAATTTGAATATTAGATCAAACGTTATTCAGGATGGTCCATTTTTCATTTTGCACAGTGCACATGGCGACATTTTTCCAATACCGCGTTGGGCATGTGTCTAAGTTATGTCTCTGATCTATCGGTCCTTTTTGTGCTGTTATGGCCACATTGATCCACCTCTGTATTGCCCATGATAAAGTAATTATTCAAAAAGTTAGATACTTTATTCACTACGAGCTTTCTGTTCTTTTTTTTCTTTTTTTTGTAGTAAAAAAAGGATTGACAAAATACATCTTTAATTTTGATAGAATTTATCTTCTCGAATAAGTGACAATCATTATTTCGTGAGCCGTGGCGACTCAGGGGATAGAGCGTTCGCCTTCCAATGAGGTGAACCGGTTCGAATCTCAGCGATGGCTGATCGATGCGAATTCCGCACCCCGCTTGTCTCTACCACAGTACTGACTTAAAATATTCTCAGTGGTAGACGGATCACGGGTTAGAGTCCCCTTGTCGTCAGACTTACCACTGGAGGTTTTCCTCTCCACACAAATGTGGGTTAGTTCCATGAAAAAGTCCTCCACGAAGGCAAATTTCTCCCAATACTGAATCCAGAAGTTCCCTTACCTTCTGAATTGGGTTCAAAATTAGACGCAACACAGTTGAGCATTAGTAATCGTAAACCCAAATTGGAATAAGTATTGTAGAATACTATAAACACAGGTTATTAAGCCAAAACATAAACCAAAACAAGCAATTTCCTCACTTAAACAAGTGTTATTTTAGTAAAGTTCTAACTAAGTTAGTTTTATTTTAAGTTAGGAAAAATTTACTTCACTGGAAATCGCAATAGAGTTTGTTAAAAGGTTAAATTTTAAAAAGGAGAATTTACAGTAAGGAATTTAAAGCAATAAATTTGCAGTAAGACATTTATAACAATGAATTTGCGGTAAGACATTTCAAAAGTAATTTAAATTGGCAGTAAGACCTTTAAAGTTATGAATTTGCCGTAAGATATTTATAGCAAGATAGCATTTTAATAGTTCGAAGTACCTTATCATTTATTCAAAAAATTATAAAGATTACTTTTTCTTAAGTTGCAATAATTATAACTTATAGTGAGTATTTTTTATAGTTTGATCTGAAAGTATGCATACTCATCATAAATTAATCTTAATATTTCCTTTGCAACCGAAGCTCGCGTAATAAACAATAGTATTTTTAAATCAAAGTAATTTAGTTTTTGTTTTCAGTTTAATTAATTATAAGCTACCGATTTCTGGAGCGTATATAAATTTTTTTAAGGATTGAAATTCAAGATTTATTATCAAACATAAAAATTTCAAGGAAATTACGAATATTAAGACTGTTCTTTATATAACAGATCGTCCCACAGTGGACTGATCGTTAAGACACGGTTCTCAGCAGGTCACCGAAGTCAAGCATCACTGGCTACGGTCAGTGTGCGGGTGGGTGACCACTTGGATCAGTCTGCGTGGGGACCGAGGGTGTGTGGCATTGGTCCTCGTTAAACTGTTTTACCGTAAAGAGCTCGACTTCGCGTGCAGGTCGTCAGACTACCGAAGCGGGGGTGCCATCCCCTCTGCAGAGGATCAAAATTGTGATGGCATGTCTTCGGATCATCCTCAGGGGTGTTTCCCAGACCGTCGCGCCCATCGTGCAGCTCTAGTGCGACTTAAATTAACCATAACTACAACAATATAACAGATACTGGCAAATATTTAAAACATTATTTGCAAAAAAAAAAATGTTTTTTTTTCTTTTGAATCATAGAGATTAATACGAATATTTTAAGATTTGCATTTACTAAATATTTTAATAGTAAATTAAAGGTTAGATAGAGAAATGGCCATGTTCCAAAATCCTTATCAAGTTCTAATAAGAATACAATTTTTTTAGAAAAAAAAATTTCGCCTTTAGTTTTGGCTGTCACTGACAAATATCTTTTTCACAAAACTGAAATGTTGAAGGGTTATGTAATATGCTAATGCCAAAGTACCAAATATGCTAATATAGGTATAAAATATTATAATGATATATTTGGTAATAATTAAAACAGGACCAATACTAGGCAGTTTAAATACCGATATTTTAAAAATAAGTGTTTTACGACCCCTCGACAGGGACATGTACCGAAGAAAATTATTTGATAGTGGTACATTTTGACTTATGGTTTTGCCTCGAGTAATAGCATCATGCCAAGGGATGCTAAATGCATTTTATCTTTATTCTAATGGGATGAACTACAAAAAACAAGTTTTACTTACTTCAATAAAGTAAAGCCACTGTAAAGGGAAACAAATAATGTTAAATTTTAAAAGAATGAAATTATTTCAGCTATATTAATTGAAAAACTTAGTGGACGAAGCAGGTAAGTGACATTTTCAGAATGAAAAAAAAAGTTGTATTTGAACTATTTTATCACTAATTTAGTAGAAGGCGTGACGAATAATTCTTCGCTTTATTGTTCCTAATTTGAAATAAAAACCAAATTAAATCAAAAATAAAATTGTATTGCCTAATTTGGAATAAAAATCATGTTGCATACTAAAAATTTATATCATTAGTTACGTTTAGATTTTAAAAATGGTAAAAGCAGTGATTCATTAATTTCACTAAAATGTCACTTACCTGGTTCTTCCATCAAGCTCTTTAATTGTGTCGGTATATGTTTTTCAGTTATGAGCATGATTTCGTAGTGTTTCACTACTCTGAGTTATTGATTCTTTACTTATTTTTTATTCACTCCGTGCGAAGAACGGGTATTCAGCTAGTATATAAATAATTTTTTCAAAAAACTACACTTCGAGAAGAAAAGAAAAAAAAATTTTACATAATTTCTTCTCTCAGCAATCACATGACTGATTATAGTTTCTAACTACTTACTTTCTAATTACCCACCAAAATAAGTGAACAGTAAACAACCTGAATAACTTTTGATTTAGTGCTCGGTCTTTCCCGAACTAAGAGCCAATTTCATTTGTTCAAGTGAGAAGTCTTAAATACACAAATTAGCAAGAGCAGATTATAATTCAAGTTACAAAATTAAGTACAATTTTATTTATTACAACTACTGCAGCTTATTTATAACATTTTCCATCCCCATTGAATGATTTTTGAATGAATGAATTTGTGAAATTTAACTTATCTTTATTACATTAATACTCATTACAAAAATATAAAAAAGTGAAAACGTTGAAACATTAACAATGAAAATTATAATAAGGTGGTTTTGTGGCATTCTTCAAAGCATTATCTAAAATGAAAGAACAAAAAATTATAATTAAAACAAGAATTACTTATTATATTCAAACACTCTTCATTACAATTACAGTTAAATATTTAAAAATGAAATTCTCTCTATTAAATCTGGTATAATTGAAAATGTTTCTATTAAAAAAAAAATCATTCAATAAAAACTTACTTCAGTTATTTAGCCGAATGCTTCACAGCTGGCATAAGTAATATGAAGAAAATTATCTTCCGACTTGTATCTTTCATATACTTCAGCTAAAGTTAAGCCTAAAGCAACCAATTCGTTATCAATTATAAAATAGAGGCCTTCATAGTGTGGTAGTTTTATTCTACACCTGCGAAAAAAGTTTCATGAGTCAATAATTTTATGCCATAATAATGGATTATGTTATATAAACTTGTCACTGATATTATGATCATTTCATTAAGTTCAGTAACATAAACAAGACCCTCCCCCACAACCAACATATATTTTATTTTAAAACCGACGTTGAACAGTCGACCCAAGTTTTAAGTTTACGACTACTAATGTTCAACTAGGTTGCCTTGCTAATTTGAACCCAATCCAGATGACAAGGAAACTCCTGGATCAAATATTGAGAGAAATTTGTTTTCGTGGAGGATTTTTTGATGGAACTAACCCGCATTTGCGTTACATGGACAGAAAAACCTCCCACGGTTAACCTGCGAAGATATTTTACGTCAGCACTGTGGTCGGTGAGAGCCGGGTGCGTAATTCGTATCGACCAGCCATCACTGGGATTCAAACTCGGTTCACCTCATTGGGAGGTGGGTGCTCTGTCTCCTGAGCTACCACGACCCGACCAACATATATTATTTAAAATATATATATTTTGCTAATAGAATAAAAATATTAGATTATTACATCGTTTTTCGAGAAAAAAAAAGGGAATTTTGCTATAGACCTCTAATACTTCCTCTGTATATTCCTCTAATACTTAACAATGAAGTTAAAAATGTTTTCCGGATAACCGGGCAAAAACAGAATTTATGGATTAAAAAAAAAAACGCTATCGAAATCAAACTTATCACTACAGGTAATGTTACGGAAAGAGGGAAAGAAACAGGAGAGCTATTTGAATTCTAGAAGAAAGCATTGGGGATTTCAGGCTTTTGCAAAATTTTGTTGATAGAAGGGATTTTTTTTACCACACATTCCTTGTTAGGGATTCGAGGGACTTTAATTGCGTTTATTCATACTCCTCACCAATGATTTTGTTGTAATTAACAGTTGTGCATTTTTTGAGCTTCATATTCTCATGATATGTATAACAAAATAAATACGTGTATATTTTACTAAACAGATTTACACTTCACTCACCTAACCAGTGATTGAAGTTGACTTATAGTCGTGACTTCAGATACTATCCATTTCGGTCGATCTAGCACAGGGAGGTTCCAAGCAGTTCCGGATTTCTCAAATATTACCTGGAAAAATTTAAAACTATAAATGAAATATTAAAAAAAAAGTAAAACAACCTAGCTAAATTACTTTTTGCGCATTTCTAAAGACATGTTTGAAAACAATTTTCGTGAAATCAGGCTCTAGGCACTAAGCGTATACCTTTTGGGAAGGAATACTTACGTATACTTGCGTCCCAAAAGGTAAACAAAACGTAAAGGTAAAGAAAAACTAATAGAATAATTTAGCTCTTTGCGAACAACTGCCATAATTTTGAAATGCACCATGTCAATTGCTTGCTTTTAACATGGTGGCATTTTCAACTGACGAATGAATTACAGAATTTTCTAATGAGCCGGATACTTTTCAGGCTAATTAAACTGAACCATATACCTTTAATGAAAAGTCCAGTATTAAACTGAACTTTCTTCAGATTTTTCTAATGAGATAAATTTGTTCAGTTTAGTTTGTAATGACATTCTTCAGAATTCTTGTAGTGAGCCTACCTATCTTAAGGGCGATTTATTATTCAATATCCAATTAGCATTACTTATTCAAAATGATTCTCAGTTATTCCGGTTTAGGGAAGGCCTATTATAAATAATCTTATTTAAGCCAAGTTAATAAATTACTTAAAGCAAATTTTACTTTATTGAGTAATTCTTCGGATAATTCTGAATCTGACTACAGGTACATGCGCTGATTGTAGAGAGCAAAAAAATATTCTGCTGATTAGAAAATATTGGTGACTTTTCTAAAACGTCTGGTGTATTATAAAATCCGTAAATCAATTAAATCGTAGATTCCCATCATTACCGGTCACGACCCAATCTTGACTTGCATTCTTTTTTTCTTTCATGGTGAATCTTCAAAGCTTATTCGGAAAAAACATTATATGCAAATCATTGAAGATTATTTTATTATTTTACATCTTGAATGTTTTTTGTTCTCCTCTTCATAGGTCTTTTCAAATCATATGGGATTGACTGTAAATTACTCCAAAACAATGTATAAGCCAGGGAATAAAACACCTTGTGATGCAATTTGTCGTCTAAAAATTGGCTCCCTGACTTATTTTTAATTACAGTAGATCTTTGTTTATTATAAAAATTGACATTACCCTTGATATCTAAAATCATATCTCATCAGACAACAAACATTTTTTTAAGATCTAATTTTTCTAATTAATAAAAGCATTTTTTTGCGATCTCTTATCCCTTCATTGAAATCTTCTCAATGTGTGAGTCAGAACCTAACTAAAATTGATGAGCGCCAAGGAGCAATATCTGTAAGAAAGGTCCTCAAACGGTGTAAAAAAAATTGATGAGAGCCCAACATTATTAAAAGTACTAGAATTAATCTGAGCTGTTCATATTAATAAAATAGATGAAAAGAATCCAGCAAAGAAGATTAAATTTTTGTGTCAAAAGCCTTCGGGAAAAAGGAAGTCCATAATGGCGATTCAATTCTGTGGAATCAAATTTAAAGTGATTTTAGTAAAATCTAACAATCTTTGCCAAAAAATTGCTTTTTGTTTATAGTAGAATTTTTTAGCAAAAGGATTTCTCCAAGTGTGAAACAGAACACTGCGAAATACACACTGTAAAACAGAAGCATGTATATTCATTATTAATCAGTTAATAAATATAATTTGTACATATTGCTCTTACTATTGTTCACGAATTTTCTTTTTAAAGTTAAACCTCTATTTTAATCATTAACTTATTTCATTTTTATTTATAAAATACCAATTTTATTTTATTTTGCGTATTAACAAATATTAAATAAATAATTTTAATTATAAATAGATTATTAGTTCACAAATCAAATCTGAACTTTTTTGGAGTCATGATTTCAAGTAATTTATTTTCCGTTGCACAGAGTTTTTTAAAACAATCATTTACCAAATGACGCCCTATTGCATAAAAAAGGCTTTGGAATTCGTTGTATAGTCTTTAATTATTTTATTATAAATTTACATACAATAGAAATTATCCCTGAAGTACGAAAAAAAATTTCTGTGAAATCTAATGGAAGTTAAAAAGGTATAGAATTTCGAACTCATGTACTAAATAAAAAACGGAACATCTCAATATCTTTTCTTATTATTATCTTAAGATTCAAACCTTAATCATTCGATCACGTAAAATCATTAAACTTCTTTTCTAAATATAATTTCGCACAAAAAAGACAACTTTTAAATATTTGTTATTTTTTATTCTTTCATTAAATAGTAGTCGAAAATTTTATAGAGCGCAAAGTTTGAAAATTTTTAGTTCATTTTAAATACTGTTATACAAAATTATAACGAAATTGGACGAATAGTTCATGAATAATCATGACTAAAAATAAACGTATTTTTATTTATTTATATATTTTATTTTATTTTTTCTTTTCAAGAAGAGCTATTCATCAAATTTCGTATAATATTTCGAGTTTTTTGTTTATTCTTAAATTGTTTTAAATAAAATAAAAATTTGTGTGCCGTTCAAATCAAAAATTTTTTCAACCATTATTAATTTAAATAATACGAAATATTGATCAATTAAAAAAATGCATAGAAATGACTATTGAAGTCAATTTTTCTAATTATGTGCAAAAAATATTTTAATTCACCTTTAAATAATTTAAGAGCTATGGCGATACAAGAAAAAAATTATAACATTATTAAAAAGCTCAAATTTTCGACTGCTGTCTAGGGTAAACTTGTGGTCATATTTTCCAACCTGTGACTATCTTTTACATTTTGACGATCACGAATCTGGATTAGTCGTTATGTCACAGATTCAGTTCAGTTGGACGTCCACAGATGCATTTTTATGTTGTTTTATACTTCTGGACAGTTGAGGGTTAAAACAATTTGAAAATATTGTAGCAACACTTACCGGTATAGAGTTTGGAAATTTCTTCAAAACTCTATCTGCCTCTTCTTTTCTTTTCGCTGAAAAATAAAAGCAGAGATTTGAGTTATTTATTAATCAAATGCATGTTTGTGTTGAGATTTAATTTCATAACAAAATAGAATGTGTGGATTAAAAAAGTATGTAACTAAGTAATAGTTAAGGCTGTTTTTCGAAGGCTGCGTTGTTGCGAATAATGTGCTATTTTTATAACTGCTGTGAGTTCGCAACTATTATTCATGACTGTAAGGTCAAGTTTAGCCTACCTAAAGCCAGCGCTGTCTACGCTTTATTATGAAATGGCATAAAAACGTCAAACGCTGGGAAAAAAAGCAGCAGTTTTGTGAAAATGAAAAGCGTTTGTGGTCTGATTCTTGAAAATTTAAAAACTTACTCCAAATGCTGCCATTCTTGGGCTTATAAAAATTTGCAAAAACTGAGAATAAGACAGTGATTTTGATAATTTCCATCTAAGTGGGAAAATGTCACCGAATTGGCGATTTTTTTAAAAAAAATTGACAATTTTTAAAACATTTAAGTATTTTTTCTGTTCTAAGGCCCAGATAATTCTCCACGGCAAGATTATATAGATAGTAGTAGTTTAAAATCATCGTATATTGCTTCAAGTACAAGGCATTTCAACTATTGCTTTTTTATTTTCTTTACCGACAGAGCATCGCAAAACAGCGCTAAATCTCAATAACATTCAGTAATTTAAAAAAAAACTAGAAAAGTTCTAGACTGCAGCAACATTATCCCAAATCGATACATGAATTTTATTTTATAACCAGCATTGAACTTCCGCATAGTTTTGAACCTAACTAAAAAGATAACTGAAGCTCCTGAATCAAGCAATTGATTGGCCTCTGTGGAGTACTTTTTTATAGAACTAAAACGCAATTGTCTTACGTGGAGAGGAAAACTACGAAAATCATCTACGGTTCGCCCGGCGGATTGGAGATTATAACACGTGATCCGTCTACCACTGAGAATATTTTGTGTCAACAATGTGGTGTGGTCGGTGTGAGCCGGGGCAGAAATTATAACAAGATATATTTGAGCTTGGATCACCTTATTAGGAGGTGAATACTGAATGGAGATGCTCTATCTCCTGAGCCACGGCTACTCAGATATTTAAATTGCACTAAGTGCGAAAATCTTGATATTTTAAACATATTTTTTATAGATTTTAAGGCACTAAATTCAAATATGATATTTATCGTGTCCGCCTACTTTACTTAATTGTTTTTTTTCTCACATTTTTTCAATTAATTCGATAAACAGTAAATGCTCAGTCAGAGTGTTGTGTCATAAATTTTCGATATAATTTTGCTTTTAAAGAGTTGAAATTATTATTTAATGAGATGAAATTATTAATGAAATTGTTATATTAATTATTATTTTTTTAAATTTTATTTTGATTTTAAAGAAATATGATTATTATGACTAATATTCTGGTAATGAATTTATAAATATATGCATCATTTAGCAATATATAACCGTGAACTAATCAGTATCTATCAGGCAAAATATAATTTTTTATCACTATTAAAGTTTTATTTTAGGACATTTAAATGATAATTTAATCGATCTAATTGTTTTCTATTTAATATAGCGTATTATAAAATATAAAATTAATCTATGGTTAAAGGCAAAAATTGACTGATAAACAATAGTACAATAAAATTATAAACAAGTTTTTTTTGTATAAAACAAACTAATTAAAAATATTTTAGTGTAACTGTGTATTTATATAGAGTAAGCACAGTGTTACTTGCTTACGGGCATTAGTAATTAAAATAAAATGAATCTTGAAATTCTCTTAATTTCCTTCAGTTTGAAACAGTAGAAAAAATAAAATATTTACTTAAATACGATTGCTTTGGTTTGCTTTTATAGGGGAAAATATTGATCAGAATTTTCATTATTTGTTTTTAATTATATTTACTAATTACAAAGTAAAATAAGTGCAATGTACAATTTTAAGTTTCTTAATTTTTAATGACAAAAAAAAGCGTTAAAAATTAGAAAAACAAGCACGCATAGTATCCACTTGATCACTTATTAAATAAGATTTTTTTTTATTGTTCTATAAAGTATTTCAAATTACAATATAAACTAACTAGATTTTTTAAACTTTATGATTTAAATTTTAATAATAAATCTAAAACAAATAAATTCGCAAGGAAAACAATTGATTGAAATATAACGGCGAGTTATGTTTCCTAAATTAGGGTCGATTTCGCTTATCTGAGACAAAACTACATAATTAAATTTTTATCTGTTTATTAAGGAAGAAAAAAATTACGCAAATCCTTACATTATTTATTTATCCTTATACAGCTGAGCACCATTTTTACATTTCTCACTAATCATATTTCTTATCGTGATATTTCTTTGTACTTGACAAACTTTTGATGATGTATTATTTATTACACAGCACAATACATTTCAAAAACGGGAGAAACTAAAGGGGTTACTTAATTATATTAGGAGAAGTAGCGCTTGATAATTTGTGGAGCTTCTACGAATTCTTCTTGACAACTTTAAACCAATAAAATGATGCGATTTGTGGTGTCAAGTAAATGATTTAAAACTAAACGTTTCTCGGTTTTTAGATTTTTTAAAATCTAATCTTATCGCAGTTAAAATTAAAAGTGATTTTCTCCATAACGCTAAAAATTTCCTTTAGCGTTAATTACGTAAAAATCAAGATACTTTTTAAAAATTTAAAAACTATTCAATGTTTTTTTTTTTTCATTGTTGATTGCAGAATTGTATAGGAATTATTTTGTGAGAAAAAAATTGATAGAAAATCTGAAATACCGCAATCTCATTTTGTGACTGGATGGCGACCTTATTTTTTAGACGTATCGAAAGTTACTACAAAATAGAGTAAATATCCATCATTAGTTTATTTGTGAAAATTAAATAAAAAAGGATTAGAAGCATGCTTCTCTCCGTCTTCACCCCTCTGACAGCTGAGCTCTGTCGGGAGAGACAGGTTTATAAACATTTGGTCTGGATTCTTCTATAAGACTCCATAACGGAATTCCCCCCATCATCTCGCTCCGTGTAAAAGGTTAAACAGCCCCATTCTTAGTTTTCACGTCTCTGATGCCTACTTTTGGATATGTATTTAAAAATCGAACAATGTTTTAAAAACGATGTTTCTTTTAAAAACGATGTTTTAAATTTTTGCTTTCACCATTCCGTTTTGCTTACCTTACGATAGGTTTACGTTTTTTCAAATCATGTAACAATTATTTTCTATACTTGCTCTTATTTTTCAACAATTATTTTACGGTTTTGAATATCGTATAAATAAAACTGCAAATCAGTTTTATTGTTCAAATGATACTCAGCCGGATAATTATGCTTCTTTAGATAAAAATATTTTGGTAAGTTAAGTTGCTAGACAATTTTAGCTAGGAGGAGGTCACTATAGTTTTAACTATACGACACTAAAATATGATTTTAATAAGACTTTTAAGAACGCGTAAAACAATGTTCGAAACACATGAATTAGTTCGTATAAAGAGTTACTGCACATACACGATTTTTCGAAATTCTTATCAGTGACCAAACTAAAAATAGAAAACTGACAACAATTCTGAAATCCTGCATATCGCTTAAGGCCCTGCCTTATTTTTTTTTCTTTTACAAATGCTACGTGGGGACCACCCTCATGTGCTAGTTACCAATTTTATAGCTGATAAGAGTTTCAAGAACGTGTTACATGTTAACTAAATAAATGACAGATGATATTTCATTCCATTCATCATATGAAGGCAAGACAGGAGAAACAGAATTTCGTTACTTGCTATCAATATCATTGCTATCAATAATTTTGAACTTCATTCTGCATTTGTAGTTCGACAGCTGTAAATCATAACTCAAGTTATCTTGCTCTTTATGAATGTCTTGTAATTTCCACCCTTTCAATGCTGGATTTTACTTAGGTATTGCACTTAAAGCTGCAATGTTTATATGCAGACTTATTATCTAATCAATTGAGAACACCTGGGCTGCGAACATAAATGCTTGCTTTTCTGTAGGTCTCAAAACTCTTAAAATAGTTCCATCACTATGAATTTATTTGTTTGATACCTGCATTCCTCTGAGCTAAATCCACAATTTATTTTAATTATTAATTAACTAAATCAAGTGTTCTTTTTTCGTGTATATGGTAAACACTTTTCTTTAATTTCGCATAAGAAACTAAATTATTTACATTTTGCTTAAAACGAGCGTTGTGCTGAGCATTAGTGCAAGATGGTAAACTACTTATACCATAAATGTTTTTAAAAGCAGGAATGTAATTTACATCTATTTCAATGACTGTCGCAACAATAAATAGATAAAAATGCGTATAAATGTAGGCTTTATATGCTCTCTTATTGCTATTGCTTTATATGCTTTCAAAGTATGTTATCATACTTGTTTAACACTTGATAATTTAACATTTGCTAGTTTTCCTAAGTTGATGATGTTAAAGTAACCATAGCACTTTAACGTCTTCAAAGATATGAAGCATTTAAACTTACTAAGATTTATATTTTATATAAATCGTAAAAATGAATGATAAAAATAATTCAACTTTCAATCCCTTTTTGTTTTCTACGAAGGAATAAAAAAAGTTACCAGAGCTCTGATACATTTATTGAACAAAAAGCGTCAGATACTAACTGAATTGAAGATGATGGTTATCAATTAAATGTATAAGTTTAAAGTCAATGCGGGGCATACCGAGGAAAATAAACTCACTTACCATCTTATTACTTTTTGTCTGTGTATCACGTTAGCTAAATTATTTTTAAATAATTAGTATCCACCAGTAATTGTAGAAAATATCAGCTTTTTTTAATCATTTTTTCATCTTTATTTTTTTTAAAATATCAATATGAAATTTTAAAAAACTAGTTTATCTGTTTTATTATGTGTAAAAACTTATAAATCTAGCAGGAAAAAAAAAATTTTTTTAATGGTTTATTTTTAGGTAATTACCATTTTTAGGTAAAATAAAAGCAATTTTTTTTATGTACCGTCATTCGGGGCTACTTTGTGCAAATTCGAATTTGGCACTTTTCAAGTGCTGCTATTCAGTATTATGAATCCAAAAAAATCTATTGCAGATCAAATTTAGAAAGCTATCAACTATATTTTGAACTAATATCTTATGAGAAATTGCATATACTACTGACTGAGTTAGGTAAGCAATGAAGTTAAAAAAGTAAATTTTTAGAAACTTCTGCTCTAGTCTTCGTAAAAAAATTTATGTGTGCTATAATTTTAAACACTCATGAAAAATTGTAGACTATTATTTTGAAAACAACAAGATATATCGTGTTTTAAAAAGGGTGTAAAATGTGCATTTAAAGACTTAAACCACTGTTATCACCTTGCACAAAAACTACTATAAACTGTGAATCGAGTACATACAAAAGTAAAATATTATTAGAGAGTACAGGAGGCTTCTAAATAATAAACTTAATTTCGAAAATTTTGTCAGGCAGCGTATCACTTTAGAAAACGTCAGAATGAAAAAAAAAAACAATAAAATCTTAAGAGCATAAAAAACTGAATATAATATTATCAGTTACAATTCAAAATGCATATATTATTTCAACATATTATCCTTGTATTAAACGAAGTTTTGCCTTTCCCTCAGACATTAATTTAAATCAAAATTGAACTCTTCTATTTAAATAATTACCAATATTTAAATAATTTTTAATCTAAAGCCTTTATAAACCAAGTAAAAGACTTGAAAAAGAAAACAAAGATAAAAAGAATTAATCGAAATTCATATAATTGTTTTTTAAAAACCTAATCAAATATTACAATAAACAATTTTCATAAAGCTTCAAAAAAATATTTTTATAATCTAAGAAGATTGAATCACCAGAAAAGAATATTACGCACTTCTCATAAAATTAACAATTTTAGAAAATCGGTAGCAGTAAAAAATTGCATAATATTCTTTTAAAAAAATTAAAGTATTTAACGTAAATTTTATTCCTGTTGAGCTTTTTTTAGGATTAAATTTTGATCCCCTCAGTTTTTCAGGTTGTTCCTGAAATGTATGAACCCTTTTTCGAGGTGATGTATGCGAATAATCCGATTCCAAAAGTTTTGATTAAAATGCATAGCCTGCTTATTATACATGAATATGCATATATGAAAATGGAGATATACTGCTATTTATCTATTTAAAGTGTACGATGAAAAAGATTAGTATGCACATGCACAAACCAATTTAGTGAAAAATGCCATGTAAAAATTTGCAGATTTTATATTTTTTAACAAGGAGAATTATTTTTTTTTAGTTATGTAACTCCCAAAAATGTTTTTCTGGCTGCATACTGAACAAATATAGATAACAAAATATGATATAAAAGAAAATATTTAATCTACATACCGAGATTGTGAGTATCATTATCTGCTGCTTCATAATTAAATCGTTTTTTTGAATTAGTTACAGCATGACGGTGACTGCTTAACATTTTTAACAAATATAAATCACAAGTTATACCAAGAAACAAATAGATGCCTGTGCTGTGAATAAAGCTAAACTATAAATGGTATATCACTGTAATACTGGCAACCCTTATGGTTGAAGATTGAGACCCAACCAAGAAAGGACCCCCTGCAGCTCCTGGACTAGCTGCAGCCAATACAAAAAGACCTTAAGAATTATCAGGAAAGCCCTTTGAACGTATCAATAAGGTGAATTTAGCCATTTTCAGTAAGTTCTATTGAGTTTCAGATATTCTATTCTATTTCGGAAATTTCTATTTGAGTGAATAGTTTCTTATTGTTTCAATTGTTTCTTCACTGTTTCAATAAGAAGACAAAGACTCAATTTTTTTTTTCCTTCGATAAAAAGTGTAAATAATTATAATGACGAAGACTGTTTTTCGAAGGTTCTGTTGTCATACTAAAGAACGATTTTTTTAATGTAAATAAGGGGCCATTCAAATATTACGAATAAATGATTTTTTGTTATAAAGGAACCATTTTGTCAAATATTTGTAAGAATGTTCTTTGTGAAAAAGGGGCCATTCATATGGTTCAGAACAAAAGTTTTGGCCCTTTTAGGGCCAAAACTTTGTGATTTGTTTGGGGTTTGTGATTTGTTTACCCTCCCTTTACTACTTTTACTTTTTGTTTCAACAAAATTTTAATAAATAGTTTGTTTTGTAAAATTTTGAAATTCATTGAAGTATTTTTTTTTTCTTTTTTTTTATTAAAATTTAACTTTTATTTCAAGTTTGAAAGTTTTCGAAATGTTTTTTTTTTTTAATTTATGTTTTATTTAACAAAAATGAAAATAAACAAAATTTAATGTTTTACCTAGGCAATGCTCAAACATCTCTCTATGCTAATTCCGTAAATGGCACATAACTGCAACATGAGAAGGAAAAGAAACAACTGTTTTTTAAAAACAATAGGCGATTGCGATCAAATTTTTTAACACTAAAATATTATTCCGCTACTGCATTAAAATTTAGTAAAATTTAATTATTCACTTTCATAATTTTTATCTAAGAAGAAAAGTTTCTCCAAATTGGCGATTTTTTTTTTTTTTTTAAAAAGTATGTGTTTTTTGTCAAAGTGAATCATTTGAAATATTTAAGTTATTTGTCCCTACTTAAGCTCAGATAATAATTAATGGCAAACAGTACAGATAATCAAGAGTGCTACTCTTCAGTTCTAGGGACTGATATTAGTCTGGGAAAAAAAAATCAGTAGTTAGTCTCATTTCCTCAATTAATACTTTTCCACTTGTTTTTTAATTTAAAATGTCCTTTTTTTCCTGTATAAGTTAGCAAATATTTTCCGTTATAAATAAAATGAATTTTAATGAAAATATTGTAATTTTTCTTAATTACTGCAAAATTATTAATTAATGATGTCACACCGAAATGAAAAAATGGGATTAATGCTTCTAAGTGTTCAAAAACATAAAGTCCGGGATAGCTTGGTTGATAGGCCCACGTCCGAGAGTTCGAAACCCGCCGGCCGAAGACTCCTCGTGTAGTAAATGGTGTCGGTGCACGTTAAATCTGTCGAGTCCCAAAGTCCTCCATGTTTCCATAACAAATCGATACCACTGGGAGTACTGGATTGGAGATCGATCGTTCTCTGATTCAGGTCAAAATTACGATCTGTGGATGTGTGAATGGGTCCGCCCTATAAAACGGGCTGTGACGTGTGTGTGCCTGAAGACGAATTCTTGGCCATAGGATGGTGCCACTGAAAAACAAGAAACTCACACTCCGCCTTAAATTTGCTCGGTTTCACCAAGCAGGCTTGCCCGTGTGGCAAGTAGCATTAGAAACAACAACAAAAAAATAAAAGTTATGCATAAATGTGGATCTATAAATATAGCTTGCTTGTTTACACCAAATTTGTACTCTTGCGTCTAAATTTGCAACAGTTTTCATTTTAATTCTATGTCTTAGAATTTTGATCAAAGTTAAATTAAGATTATTTTTCAAGAACAAAATAAAACTTAGAGTTAAGACAAAAAATAACAGTAAAGCAAAAAATAAGTAGAGATATGAATAGCTTCATGAAAAAATTAGTGATTCAGTGATTTGTGCAAAAAGATGTACAGACTTAGTCATTTTTATCTTGATTGCTGCAAAATATTTAAATGAAAAAGATTAGAAATAATTAAAGCATTGATTTTATATATCACTCATTTGGTGAAACAATGACGTAACTGATAATTACTCTATTTAGGTTGATTTTGCAGTTACGTCATTGTTTCACCAAATGTGCGATATGTGCCGTTATCATGGAAAGTTAGATTTTCGAGTCAGTAAGCAATAAATTTCTGAAAACTCTGATAAACAAGGTTAGATCATGTTAAATGATTAAAAAATAAGTACATTTATGAAATTTTTTAAGAGTGGAACCCATGATATATTTAATTTTAAATGATAGCTTTGTCTCAAATGTAAAAAATCTGAACTGTGACTGTTTTTTCCATTTTCTCTTGCATAACAGCTTCAAAAATCATCAAAAGTAGCTTTCAGGGAAGGAAATTTTACTTGTTAGCGAATTAACTTTTATTTTTACAACTTTTGTGAATTCACAACAACAGCTTATTACTCTCTTAAAATGGAAGAATGATTTCCCCTACTCAAAAATGAGTGAAATTCTTTTAACTCAATTTTAGTGAAATACACCTACTATATTTGAATGAAATTCTTGCTTTCGTTCACTCGAACTTGAGTGGTATTTATTTAAGCAAAACTTCAGTGGTTTTCGCTCGAACTGGAGTGATTTATTTATTATTCTAAATAAAATTGTTATGTTCTGTGATCTAAATTAGTTATATTCTCGCTTCTATTTTAAGCTTAATTTTTTTCTGATGAATATGTCTATTGATTTTTTGAATAGGGAAGAATTAAAAAAACATTTAGTTAACAGCTGCATTTCTGAAGAAGACGCTGTTTTACTTTTTAATAAGTATATATACTCTGTTCTTATTTTGAAAATAATATTATTTTCAAAATATTATAATTTAGAATATGTTTTATACACTTTCCATTTAAATAAGCATTTTATAGCGATTTTATATAAAATTCTGGTCATTATTTTGTCAATAGAAATTTTTTAAAATTGAAAGTAAAAAATGTGGATAGTTATGGAATATTAAAAAAATCTGATTCCATGCTAGAATCTTTGTCAAAGCATGTGATGATGTGGTCTGTAAAGAGTTTTAGAATTTTTCCAGATCTCATATTAAAGTTTTTACATTTTATTTTAATATAATAAATTTGTATTCACGATTCAGTTTTTTAAATGTATAATTTTATTACAAAACATTTGTGGATAATTAATTTCATATCATTCCATACTTCTTTTATAAAAGATATTTACGAAATAATTTATTACTCATAGAGTCTATAATTGATGTAATTTAAATTGCTTTCTATTAATAAAGTTGACGGTCTTTAATTGATGAAAGTTCACATTTACAAGATCTATTCTATCAAATATGTATCTTCATATGTTCTATACATTTTATTAAAAATATGTCATTAAAAGAAAAAGTGGAAAATATTATATTTGAAAAAATTAAATAGTATTTTGACTTTTTCCGTTTTTATCCTGTTTTTAGCTTTTATTTAATTGGAATTCGAAATTAATACTATTTTCGTATTTCATAAAGTATATATCATATAATACAAATGATTTTTCTTTTGTTACTAGCATAAAATTTCCTACCATTTTTCTTCAAGTTCAATTTTCGGGGCAAAATTAAAAATGCAGAACTAATATTTAATTAAAAGTACAATGCTAATTAAAGTATTTTAAAATACAAATAAATTTGAATTTCAAATAGTTATAGATCAATAGTAAAAAAAGGGGAGCATTATTAAAAGTAATATTTATTACGAGATAGAAATCAATTTGAATACGAAAGTGTGTGTGTGTACGTAATTTTATCACAAACCTTTTTTTTGAAAAAACTTTTAGTATTCTTCAGAATTTAAAACTACTGAATAATATTTTTACGCTTTATAATTTTCTTAATAGACAGTTATGTTATAGTTATCAATTTTCTATCTGTTTTCCAGGCTACTATACTCTTCCTTTATCTAGAAAACAGATTTTGAAAAAACTGCAGCTTCCAATTAATAAGCATGAAGGTAATATATATTTATTTTTAAGAGGTCGCTACTTTTATCGTCAAAAACATTAGAAAATGATATAACAGGCCGTCATGGCCTTGCACGAACAAAACAAAAAATTCTGATGAAATTACCGTGATATAGAGTAATAACATTTCTGACAAAAAACAACAACATATTTTTAGTTAATAGAATTAAAATATATGGCATTTAAACCAGTCATTTGGTAATTTTTCCGTTCCTATGGTAACGATTTAACAGAAATTCTGGCTTTCGAAATTCTACTTCTTATTATGCGACACATTTAGTAAAAATACAAAATTGAAGAAATTTTAGTGAATAAGTAGTTTTTAGGCCATTCTCTAAAATATAAAGAAAAATTTGCCAAATTTTACCATATTTTCATGAACTATATGTACATATGTATTATCAAAGTCATTACCGTAGCGCTTCGGTGAAACACAGTAAATTTAATTTCACCATATTCTGGTAGTTTTAACGCTTAGCTTTTACCCTAGCTTTTGTCTGAAGCTTAAAAAACAAAATGTAAGCACCTTATGCAATATAATAAAATAATTGAAAAATAAACAATATCAAAACTTTAAAACAGAAACAATTTATTAATTTATTATAAAATACAATGATTTTTTACCAAATTCAGATATTATTGATATTTATTAAATATGTACAGCATAAAAATTGTAGTTGAATTTAAATGAAATGTTAAGGTAAGATGTATACTTCAATTTCACTTTGATCAATTGATATCTTTTCCTTTATATTCTACGAAACTCCGGATTTTGTAATGTTTCTGATTTTCATCAATTAATTTTTGCAATGCCTTACTGTTTATGAGAGGAACTTTATCTACTTGTCTCCAATTATCTTCTTCAAAGGATCTAATAGAAGAACATAATATTTAATTCTTAATTTTAAATGAAAAATAGCTATAATAATGTAGTGAAAGTATGTTAACCCATTCGTATCAGTTTCCCGTTTAGGACGGCTTTACTTAAAGGACATCAAAAGCTCTTAGAAATGATATTCTAGTATAAACTAAAAAAAATTTAAGTATCCCATTTTTTAAATTTTATTCACTGTTTATCCCTTATGGGTTTAAAAAGATAATTTATCCATCATTATTTTATTTATTCGTTTTTTATTTTATTTTCATGTCATACTTGAAAGTTGTTTTCCATAATATCAACAAAAAAAAGTCTTAATATTGTTCATTTATTTTTGAAATTCGCAAAATAGTTTTCTAAATTAAAATATTTAAAAAAAAAATTTTGCTTTTAAAAAAATCATACATATGTTTAGATTTCGACTGTCTTCCCACATTTTACAATGCGTTTTCAAATTGTGAAGATTNATTGTAAAATAAGAAAAAAGGTTTCGAATTATACTAACAGCATAAGATGCTCTGTTTCGTCTATTAATTCCTTTACGATTATCTCACTGTCTTTTCCTTTATATTCCAAGAAACTGCGAATTATTTTTTTTCCATCATTGTTTGTGATTGATCCCTTTCGGCCATGTGAAGTCTTACGATGCAGCAGGCGAGGAATTCTATGTTGAAATGCCTGTTCTCCTTGGTATACTGTTGTCCATTCATTTTGTAAATCATTGTTGGTGGTTGTTAGTGCATCAAGAGCAGAAACTTGATCTCGATGATTCCAATTGGCCTCTTTTGATGAGCTTAAAAGAAAAAAAGGAAGTTGATAGTTTAAAAAAAAATGACTGAAAATCTAGCAATAGACGTTGGATATTTTGAGAAATGTAATTCACTAGCAACTATTATGGTCAGGAGATAACTAATGTTCAAGTAAATGACTCTATTTCAAAATGAGAGCAAATAATTTAGCTCTCCATTTTAATTTTTAAGTAATATCTTAAATTTAAGACATTTTATAGCAATTTGTGTGCAAAATGAAGGAAAAACTTTAAATCTATTGAAGTTGATAAGATTTTTTTTTATAAAAAAAAAGCACAATGAGTAAAATTATAATGTATCACACGAATTAAATGCTTGCCATACCACAATAAAAGGAACTTAGATTCGAAAAGAGAACATCGAAAGCAAAAGTGTTGATGTAAAATTTAAAATCAAGCTTTTTTTATTTCTATCAGAATTTTTTTTTTTTTTTTTTTTTTTTTTTTTTAGGCTCNTTAATTTTTTTTTTTTTTGTTAGCAAATATTGCCAGCTTAGTTTTATTACATAGTGCTGAAAATGCATGAGGATATATAAACACATTTTATATTCCATGTTATTAAATAGCTACTTTAGAAAAAATAATTTTAAAATTTTGTCCTTTTATATGATTTGGAACAAATATGAAGCGAAATGTTTTAAAAAGTAGGGAAGAGTGGGGTCAATTGAAACAATTTTGACTTAACTATTTTTAACTAACAAAAAATCCAATATATTATTAGTATTGACAGACGAGTAAAGTATACTATCCTCTACTAGAAAAAAAAATAAGTACCTTATTTTAAATGTTATTATATTAGTTATTAACAATTTTTGACAGTTGTGCACTTGTTACAATTGTCCCCTTTTACGGGGTCAATAGTAACAGTTCATAAATTCAACTAGAACATAGTTAATTAGACATATTATCATAGCTGTAATATTTTTTTTTATTGATCGAAATAGTAGTGATATTTTAGGGGTAAAAATAACAATGAGCAGATACCTAAATTATTAAACTTTTAACTTTAAGGGGTTAAAATTTTTAATTTATGCTGTGAAAGGTGACAAATAAAATAATGCACATGCAACATAATATAAATGATATAGGAAACTATTGGTGGTTCTTAAAGAGTTAAGTGATGGTTTGTAAACATAAGANCAGCTTAGTTTTATTACATAGTGCTGAAAATGCATGAAGATATATAAACACATTTTATATTCCATGTTATTAAATAGCTACTTTAGAAAAAATAATTTTAAAATTTTGTCCTTTTATATGATTTGGAACAAATATGACGCGAAATTTTTTAAAAAGTAGGGGAGAGTGGGGTCAATTGAAACATTTTTTACTTAACTATTTTTAACTAACAAAAAATCCAATATATTATTAGTATTAATTGACAGACGAGTAAAGTATACTATCCTCTTCTAGAAAAAAAATAAGTACCTTATTTTAAATGTTATTATATCAGTTATTAACAATTTTTGACAGTTTGCGCTTCCTAGGAACCAAATCTAGAACCCGACACTCGAAATTTTTGCTCTGTTGCAATCGTACCCTGTTACAATTGACCCCGCTCTCCCCTACTCATCGCTAACCAATAAAAAAATTCATTTTTATGCTAAAAAAAATGCACAAATGAAAAGTTTCATTATTTTTTTCTTTCGACTGTGGATTTATATATTTTTAGAAATAATAAAGAGTTTGATATTACTTCTTCTTGCAATTTTTATGTTACTACAAATAAATTATTGTTTTTTCGTTTACTATGTGACCAAAATTATCCAGACACCCTTCCTTCTAAATCATCTTAGTGTAGTAGTTTTTCCCCCTTCTTTTTTATAGTTTTGCCTGGCTTAGTTAGTTCCTGTGGTTAGAAAGGTAGTTGGACTCTTAGATTTATAATGACTTTTTGGGCAATACTGATTTCCCAATTCAACTCCATGGATATCGGAGAAAGCCGATTTCTCTACCTTCAGTCGAATAAACCATTCTAACTTCCAGCATTTTTAGTTGTGGCGGACATCTGGAAGTCAACTCCTATGGCCAACTATCAAATATTGGTGGAAAGTCTACTGCAGTAGTATGCTGGCTGGCTGCCATTCATGAAAAAAGAGGCTCATGAAAAAGAGAAACCTTAAAATTAAATTAAATATAGTAGGAAAATGCATAAATTTAACTTACCAGATATTGTCCATCCTTTCTTTTTGATCTCTTATAGATAGCTCTTCGTATACTCTAATACACTCGTGGAAATTAATTACTGAATAGTCTATATTAGACTCCACCGTGCATTCAACTCCAGTCTGTAGTACTTTAGAGTTCGAAGTAGAATTTTTATGAGAATAACACAAACACGATTTCTCCACGGTGTCAAGCCACTTTTTAATGTAGTCATCTGTTTTAAGTTTGTCTGTATAGTTTAAGACAGCTTCTTCTGAAAAACTGAGGGTAGAAAAAAATTGCATGTCATATGAACAAAATATAAAATAATTTTATAAATAATATATGTAAGTAATCTTTAATTGTCCCACGCACTAAAGCAGTCGACGCCGTGTTGGGTGATTAACCCACTATATCTGTTTACGGCAAGCAAAAGCAATTTAAATTTATAGCCCTTGTTTTGAAATTTTTTTGTCCTATCCATAACTAAGTAGATATTAAGAGGGATTATTACTTCTCTATCTATTAGGTATAAACCTATTTGCAATAATTTCTTTTTACTTTGAGTAGAAGGTTAACAGTTTTAAAAGTGGGTTACTCTCTAAAAAAATTTGATTAGTTTAATTAATCACGTTTTACCTTAGCTTAAAATTTAAATCACTTTTTGTTTTAAATATAAGCTCTGCAGTAGACTCTTTTAGCCACTGTTGACGTATCATAACTTATTATACTAATATTTTGGTAGTATGGGAGAGGATGTCATAGTATAGATCATCGTAATTTGGAACGTTTATGGTGATGGAACTAGGATTAAATTATTCTTTGCGTTTGAAAATTTTTTCATACGTTTATAGATTTTTTCTTCTTTTTTTCCGGTCAAAGTGTATAGACGTGAGGAATGCAACATGGCTTACAGCTACTGCTGTTGACCAAGTAACTGCTCCAAGTCACTATTAAGAATTGTTCAGTTCCTTTTGATGAAAAATCTTTTAATTTGACTTGCGTTAATTTAAAGAAATATAGTTTGCAAATTAAATTTTCGAAACAATAAGGCTACAAAAGTGTTACTATAGTTCAGGAAATATATATATATCTACGTACTAATTGATATGTTCTGTGTTATTTCCCAGTTCGTTCACGACTTTTTCAGCATTTTCGTTTTCATATTCGACGAAGCGTTGATTAGTACAACACTCTCCATGGTTTGTCATTGTTAATTCCTCCGCGTCGTCTGAAGTCCTATTCTGCTGGACAGGTACTTCATCCACGTGTTTCCAATCAGTTTCAATTAAAGACCTGTATAAACATGGAGAAAAAATATTAATAACAGAACTGCGAGTCGTGGTGGCTCAAGGAATAGAGCGTTTGCCTCCCAATAAAGTGTCTCAGATTCAAATCCCACCAATTGTTGGTTGATACGAATGGTAGACAAGGGATCTTGGGCAGACCAAAAAAAAATATACAAAAGGATTATGTGTCAGAATCCCCTTTTCATCGGGCTAACCGAGGGAATTTTTGTTGTTGTTGTTTTCTTCTCCATGCAACGCAAGTGCAGGTAAGTTCCATCAAATAGTCTAAATGCTTGCCCGAGTTGAGTTCAAAAATTACAAGGTTATAGAGCTGAACATTGATAGTTGTTGATTCAGAATTGGATTGGCTGCTCAAAGTTGGTTATAAAATAAAATAACAGAACTGCTACTAACAATTTGATGTAAACAGAAATCCTGGATTGGTTTCTTTGTTTATCTTAATATAAGGTACCAACACATCGCTTAATACATCTAGATTATACAATGGTACATTTTGGGATATCTACTCTTCATTTAGATATCTCTTTAATTAGCTCATGCAAAGGGTTCCGTTAACCCATCGAACTTTATTTTAATCTAAATACTTATGTATTATAGAGTGTCTGGCGAAGGGGAAGGGGGATGTTAATTGAATATTTAAGAAATATATATTAAAACGTACAGGAAAAATCCAGATTTTTTTTTTTTATCAGTTCTAGGGGATCTATCCCCGAAATCTCCCGTTTAGGACATGTTCAGATTAACAATAAAAATATTCTTTTTTCCTTCTTTTTAATCAAATTCATTGGCTACAAAATTAGTGGTAAGTGAGAAACCTAAGGAAGAGTGTTTTCTGTAAAGGATAGGTGAATGGAGCATAACAGAAGTCATATTCGGAATTAGAGGATCATCAAAAAAAATGTCAGGGCTTGAAAAAAAAATTCTGCAACGCAATAAAATATACACGAGTTCCGCGACCCTGATAGATCTTATTCCTTCTCCCCCATTCTCCTCTCGAATACAAAAGTTTGACGCATGTTATTTGATACTGATCTTCCACAATTATGCTAGATTCAATGCAGCTGAAACAAAATTTTAAGTAATTATAGAAAAGTACTCCTTATAGAGAACTCTTAAGAGAGCTACATTGAAAGTGTTTGATTACTGGCAACTATTTATATTAACTTTTGAAAGGTATAACATAGATAAATTATAAGTTTTAACTATTAAATTTCGTGTTAATTACGTTATATAAATATATTGCACTTAGAGAATTGACTGCATAAGCTTAATTTAAATTTCTTAAAAATAAATAAATTAATTAATAATAGTTTTGTCTTATTGAAATAAACATATCTTTAAACATTAAAATTGAGTTCCAAATTAATCAATGATTTATTTAATCAATCCCTTCTAATTGCGATTAATGCAATTTTTAACAAAAAAACGAGGGTAAAACTTAGGATAAATGCATAAGAGATAAATATACGTACCAAAAAGAATTTTCTGCTCGTTCTGGATCTCGTTCTGAAATCTCGTAATAAGTGTGTAATGATACATCACTTTTCTTGTATGTTCTTCGGTAGCGTAACTTTTCATAGATGTTGTTTATTTTTCTCCTGGTAATTTAAAATAAAGTTTAAAAAAACATTAAATATAACAACAATTTAAAATAAATGAGAATTCAAAAAAAAATTAATAATGAGGGTGGATTTTAAATTCGAGGCATTTTGTATATCCGTCAATCGAATATTTTTCATCTTTGAGCTTAATAACCTGTTGTCTAAGATATTGGTGATTTTTAAAAATATATACGGTTATGTGTTATTATGTATAATAAATATTATAAGAGTTTATAAAATGCTTTATTTTAAATAAATTTTTAACAACGAGCAAGCCTTAAAAATTGACTATCCAAACAACAAAGTCAGTTTTTTTTTCCTACCAATTTCCAATACCAATTTTCAACTTAAAAACACTTAATGCTTCAGCATGTGGGAAAAGTCATTTTAAAAAATAAGGGAAAAAAGATTACTGAAGAGATTGGGATGAAAGATTAAATCGAAGGTGTTAAAATTTTCAAAAAGTGAGAATTTTTTATGTCAACTGGTTTCATCTGGTTTGTTAAGCCTCAATGTTTTGAAGTTAATCATTGAGGCTTTATTGTCAAATATAAAGAAAGTCAGTTAGCCCTATCTGAACTATAATACCTTAAATCTAAAACTTTTACACCTAGCCCCGGTCTGTTCCCTGTAGACGTATTTTGTTTAGTTTAAAGATGACTTAGTTAAAGATGAATGATACAATCTTAGCAAGTCAAAATTTTAATTCAATATTGACGATGGCTACCGAAACATTTGCAAGGCAAATACAAGATATATATCAATGTTAATCCACAACAATGATTAATTTTAAGTTGTTTTTTTTAAATGATTTCAGTTTTAAAAATAACTAAAATTTGAAGATCAGCCAGCCCATGCCTCAAATTTGAAATTCAATCAACTGATCAACAGCATAGCCAGTCAAACTGTAGTCGAAGATGTATTTGGATATCCATTGACCGAAAAATAAACTATAGCGTATGATTCTGCTCTATTTTGCAATTATTAACCCTGTATTACAAATACAAAAGCACAAATTTAAGTCAGTCATTTGCTTAAAAAGTACCGAACGAAAGGAAAACTTTTATGCAAATCTTCTCATTAGTCGAGTTATGTATTTAAAAACTTTTAAATAAATAATTTCAGGGGTGTAATGGGGTCAGAGAAGGCTTAACCCCACAACAGGCATAAAAATATTTAATAACGTGAATGTTCATCAGCTTACATTAAGAATTAAAAAAAACATCGATAGGGTTTTATTTTGATCCACATAACTTAATTAATGTAAACTGGTGATGATTTGAAAGAGAGGAATGGTTGAATGTCGAGACGACTAAACTGATAAAAAGAGAAAATATAAGTGGCCATACTTTCAGTTCTGACGTAGGATTTCTTCGATTTTTTTTTATATCAAGTATTTAAAAATATGTAGTATTGTAAAATATAGCTATTTTAAAATATAGTGAAGGGATATTCGAAAGAATTCTGGAAGATAGAAAAATTCATTCCTTAAAACTGACAATAAAGGGAGGATGATTCCTCACTTATTACATTTATTCTATTGAAAGTTTGTGCAAGTGGTATATTCTACTTGATTTTAAAATTGACTGAGAGAGAGAAATCGGTAAGTGCTGTGGGAAGAGATAACCGTTTTGAAGTGAATTAATTTTCAAACATTAAAAAAACTCGAGAAAATTTGTTTACTGAAAGCTGAAACTTATGAAATGTGAATGAGAAATATTATAAAAATTATAATTACATATTATATTATTATTTCTGTGCCCTCAATTGAACAAATATAACTATGTCTATTTAAATAAAAGATTTTTTGAAACTTATTCATCAATATCAATAATAAGGCCCAATACTGCTGAAAACAATTCTTAAAAAAAATGTGGTTGCGTTTTTATGTTTGACTGTTGTTCTTTTTTTCTTTTCAAAATTGAACTGTAGTTTTTGTTATATAGTTTATTTTTTTATTATATAAGTTAGTTTTTTTTTTTAAATTATCTTGCAATCAAATTATGTTCTTTCCTTGCAAAGCATATGTCAGTTGAGTCGAAATTAAAAACTAATTATGATTTATTAATATTATATGGAAAGTTTGTCATAATAATCAAATTCGGTATTATACCTAGAAAGAAAATAATCGAGAAAAAATTAAAATATGTCAAAATTCACAGTTCTTCGACTTTTAATTATTGTAAAATAAGTTATAAACTAACATAAAAGCAATTGCATAAAAAGAAAAAATTGTTTCAGACAGAACAGAACAAAAAAAATCAGATTTTTGCTATAAAAAAAAGGTTGTTTTTTGAAAAAACCGTCTGGTAAATGTAAATGAATTTATATTCAAACATAGTTTTAAAGCGTGGTGGACTAGTAACCGCATATAGAAAACAGAAAAGTTAATTATTAAGAGCTTATGTGTGCTTAGTTTCTTAGCAGCATATAAATGATCTATAGAAATATCAGATCTGAAATATCTCTGAAAAAACCAGTTTTTATAATTTAGAGCTAATTAATAAATTAAATTGGTGCCCTATTCCTAATTAATAAATAAAGTTGAAAAGATTAATGAAAATAATCGTTTACATTAATTGAGATTCTTATCGTTGGAACAAAATGTGACATAACATAAAGTAAGTTCAAAAAAATGCTAAGGAGAAGGAAAAAAAATTAATCTCCGCAAGTGTATGATTAGTTACATTTTCATTAATTTACAATTTGGTAAAAGAAAAAGAAGAAAAAATATATTTTTGTTCCACAGAAGTATAAAGAAGACAAATTTATAAGAAGTAGTTTTTTTTTTTTAATATTCATTCGATTTCATTTTAAAATATATATATGGAAAGGCATTTGAAAGAAAAGAATATTGAAGTGCAAAATAATTTTTAATTCTTGATAACAATAATTTTTACATTTCTTGAATATAATTTACAAATAAATGGAGAGAAACATTTATTCTTCTATCATTCTATGCACTCAATGTTTCGAGTCATACTTTTTGCTTAAGGAATTCCGCTTTAAAAAAATAATGCATAAATGAGATATTTGTTGATTATATTTGAAGTCAATTGAAATAAATAAAATATTTAGCACCTGTACATCTTTATTTATTGCTAAACTTCCAAAATTAGTTACTAACGTACGTTTTTGAAATCGAATTTCGTTATGCGGCCCCATGGTTTGCGGTAAATTAAACTTTAATGTTATTATATTTGTACTTTTCTGTATTTAATAAAAGCAGCAGTGCGATTTCGTGCTAAATTATATTTTTAAAACAAACTATAAATAGTATGAGGAATAAATCATTAAAAAGCAAGAAAAGAAACCTAGGTTGAAATATAAAAAAACCTCTTAATATGCGAATAATATTTTTTTTTTCCTTATAGAAACACAAAAATAACATTTTAGACCAAGTTCAAAATATTATCCAACTCTGCGCAGAATTAATAAAAAACAGGACCAAATCGGCATAACCAACGTTGAAAAAACAATAATAAAATTAAATTCTTAATAATAATTATTGATTAATTAATAATTGCAAGCAGTTCTCAAAACTTTTATATTTTTATTAAGTTTCCAAGATTATCTTAATAATTATTTTCTGTATAATAATACCAGAGAGCCTCACAATTTTATTCATATAAATTTATTAAAATATTCAGAATCCATTTTTTTTTCAAATTAAAAAAAAACTGAGTTTTCAAAAATTTTTCAGCAATAAAAGAATTTAAAATTCATTTAATTATGAATGACAGATATCATTGCTAACCGAAATCTTAATCTTAATCAGTCTTTAACAAAAAAATACTTAGAAAATTCTTTAAAATAAAAACCTGAGTTGTTAGTAATTACTCAGTTATTAGAGAATTTAAATTTCCTTTACTTATGAATGATAGATATCAATCCTAACCGAAACCTTAATCAGTCTTAAACGAAAATACTTAGAGTGCATTTCTTTCAAATTAAAACCAGATTATTTCATTATTGCCTGATTATTCAATGTTAATTTCATTAACTTACCTTTCCATAGACAATCGATTCCCCATTTTTGCTTTGTTGAAATACTAATAAAGAAATGTGCTTCAGTCGACAGTTGTACAGAGCCGTAGATGGAACACGTACTACTAATAAGAGGGAAAATTTGTTAGGACTGGACTGGTTGTTACTATCTCTATTGTGAAGAAAATGGGGACCTTCCTGAATCTTATCTGAGTGGGCGTAACGGAGGATATGGATAACCTATAGAGCACGGTACTATGGATGAAAATTGACTATATTGTATTGTTCAAATTCAAAGGCTAAAACCTGTTTACCATTCAAACTACTAGTTATGATTGAAGATGAACTTCTTCTAAGAATCCGTTCTTACTCTAAATCCGAAAACTCTTCGACTGATGGGGCTTGCTTTGTGATATTTGCTCTTAACATAACACAATTCAAGATAGGAAGAGAAATATTTAATATGTTAATCGGTAAAAGAGGTTCCTGGAAAAAAAAAGGATCTTAGGAAAAAGAGTAAAGAGAGTCTCTGCAAAGAAGAGAATAGTAAGAAGGTTCCCCTGTAAAAACAAAACAGTATCCCCAAAGAAAAATGAGGCACATTTTTTTTTCTTTCTTTTCAGGGGAGGGGATATTTTTTAAAATTTCTCAATAAATTATTTTTTTAAGGAAGGATTTTATTGTTTAATATAAATTTTAACATAACTTATATTATTATCATTATTAATATTATTAATATAATATATTAATATTATTAATATAAATTAATATTGATTTATCTTAACATTAAATGTATGCATTAACTATATTAAAAATTGTATTATTTGGATAAAAATTAGCCGCATTTTAGTTATATTTGCATTTTTATGTGTAACAAATGATTAAGTAATCAAATTAAGGACTAATCAATACTGATCATTTGGAACAAGTGTGAAAAAAATTTTAAAAAAGGTGGCAATTTAAGTAGATTTATTTTAATATTTTGAATAATAAACTTTAAAAACCAATTATGAGCTGTATGTATTAAACAATAAACTTCTGATATAGGAGATTACCTTTGAAACAGTATTGTTTATATATTTTGAATTTTGTTGTTACATAAATTCAAACGTGAGAGACTTTCGTATTAATTTTAAAAAAAAAGTGTCTTTCAGTCTATTATGGACTGTAATTTTTAGTTAAAATTAGTTTAATTTTGATTTTACTTTCTTTTTTAAGCAGCAAAATATTAAATAATTCATTGTATGACTTGTACTCCATCATGGTGCTAGTTTAAACTAATGTATTAATTAAAAGCAAAAGATACTTTTAAAATTAGCTTATCATTTTAATTGAAGATAAAAGCACAACATTTCATTTAAAAAATATTATAAGTAATTAATTTATTAATCTTGTAATTAATAAATTAATTAATCTTGTATTTAAAATAATGAGTGGTAAGTTTTTCTGACAAATTGGACCTCCCAATTTTAGCAACTCTCCCCTTACATAATAGAACATAAATACCATACAAAAGCATTCATGGGCATTGATGTTTCCATATTGGGTGGTACGAATCAATGCTTCTTTGCAGGTGAAAACGGGTTGTGCTCTGTCCATCCTAGGATTTTCCAA